ATATAAATTTCAAAATAATGTCGGTTGGTCATTCGCTAGATAGCAGAATGACATATATGCAGAATGATAATGGGAATGAATATAGACTCACGGGATGAGAGTAACATTAACAACTTTGTGGCCTTCGTTCTCAACTGCTCTAAAGAAAAGATTAGAGAGAAACGACTGGAAATAGTCTCTCTTATAACAATGAGAATATGTGTTTATTCGTGTTTTTTTGGAGAACGAGGCATACACATGCATTGATATGTTAAGTATTTAGAATGTATAATATACATGAGGTAATAACAATGAAAATATATGTTCATTCCTTTTTCGCCTTGGAGAACGAAGCATACACATTCATATATGAAGATGTCAGTAAGCATATATGAGCTATTATAATAACAAAACACGTTGATAAAAGAAAATGTAAACGCGTATGTGCAGTAATAAGAATGAAAATATCTGTTTATTATATTAATAAATGCTTGCCGAAGTTCATAGACGCATAATGCGTCTCTAGTATGAAAAGGAGCAATGGAACTGTCGCCTTTAAATGACAGATACTGCGTCGTAACTTAAAATCCCGCTTGAGTGAACTTTAATATTTAAATGAAAAGGGGCAATGGAACTGTCGCCTTTATTTAGAAGACAGATACTCGGCGTCGTAACTAAAAATCCCGCTTGAGTGAACTTTAATATTTAAATGTATAATGCCGATGCGGCGAGGCAAACCGCACTAGACATAAACATATCAGGACTATATAGCAATGAAAATTTGTGGTTTTTGGAGAACGAGGGATACACATGCATTCATATATTAAGAATTTAAAATGTCTAATATACATGACTCATGAGGTAATAAGTAATAACAGTCAATGAAAATATATGTTCATTTCTTTTTCGCCTTTTGGAGAACGAAGCATACACACTCATATATGAAGATGTAAACATATAAGAAGTTAGTAATAACAAAACACATTGATATATGAAAATGTAAACGTATGTGAGGTAATAAGGATGAAAATATCTGTTTATTTTCACCATACGCACGATGTGCACGGATCGTACGGATTTAGTGGCCAAGGGCATCAATTTCATGATTAGTGTTTGTTGCATTGTTGGAGGTAAACATGCACAGCTTGAGGTTTTTTACCATGTGTTACGGATCGTGAGGTACGTTTACGATCTGTGTCATATAGTGATTGTTTGACCATGTGTTACGGATCGTGAAGTATATTCACGATCTGTGTTGCATCGTGATTGTTTCACACTTTCACCATGTGTTACGGATCGTGAACTATATTCACGATCCGTGACCCATCGTGATATTGGACATGTATGAACTTTCCCGCTTAGCGGGATAACTTTCTGTCATGTCAGCAACTTTTCAATTCAATTGATGTTTCGGGGCACTGTACAGCCGAAAACTTTACCCGATAAGCGGGATAAAGTTTCTCCATATGAACAGAACAAAAGTATTTGGCTAGTCGAAAAGTTTTCTCGTTAACCGGGATAACTTTTGCCCATATGAAAAGGCCTTTAGAAACGTCTTAGAGAAACGACTTTTAGAAACGACTTGGAGACGTCTTAGAAAAGACTTTGAAACGTCTTTTAGTCTCGTATTTTAGTCTTAGTCTCGTCGTCTCTGAATACCATCTTACTGCATGCTGCGTTATATCATGTTATCTAGCTTACTTTAAACCATATTAATCAATTGCTATATCACCATCATCTATACAAATATTGCCACTCTACTCAACCTTTTGTTTTAGTTTATCAATAAGAACATTTTGTTGATAGTTATAGGCAAATAATATTCTTGTATCGTGTGTATGTATTATTAATCTAATTCTGTTGTCCTTCTACTCAATGAGATCTATCTTTTTGGCCTAGTCAATACGGTTATCCAGAAGTAAACTAGAAATGACGCTTCTAGCTAGAAATATGTCAACCTCGTTCCCAGGGTATTTGCTCTTGGGAAGCAAAGACCCTGGTGAACGCTGGTCACGTGATCTGCTAAAATCTAGCAGATTATTAATTAGCGTTGTTTTGTCAATCTGGGAGGGGTGGGAATGTAGTAGTTGACATTCGCCAGATGCATTAGTGCTGTATACTTCACAAAAATTCTAAAAAACAAACAACAAATTGCTATGTATTGGCAGGAAAAAGTTAAGTATCAAGAGATCTCCTGGTAAATTAATAAATAATGGCCACATGGGTTGAACAATGAATCGAATAATAAACATCCCAGGTTGACAATCTTGCCAAGATCCCAGCAAGATCTTGACAAGATCTTACCCAAGATCTTACCAATATCATGCCAAGATCTTACATAAATCCTGCAAGATCATGGAAAGATCTTGCATGATCTTGCAAGATCTTTCCATGATCTTGCAGGATTTATGTAAGATCTTGCCATTATCTTGGTACAAATCCTGCAAGATCTTGCCATGATAATGGCAAGATCTTGCAAGATCTTGCCATGATAATGGCAAGATCTTGCAAGATCTTAGGTAAGATCCTGCAAAAACATGGAAAGATCTTGCAAGATCCTGCAAGATCTTAGGTAAGATCCTGCAAGAACTTGGAAAGATCTTGCAAGATCATGCAAGATCTTTCCATGATCTTGCAGGATTTATGTAACATCTTGGCATGATCTTGGTACAAATCCTGCAAGATCTTGCCATGATTCTCCAAGATCTTACCAAAATCCAGCAAGATTTTGCCATGATCTTGCCAAAAATCCTGCGAGATCTTGCCATGATCCTCCAAGATCTTACCGAAATCCAGCAAGATCTTGCCATGATCCTCCAAGATCTTTTTGAGAGAAAATAAAGGGAATCTTGTCTGTTCTTAATAATGTTGTTCTAAAGAATCGAGTTTCAAGATGGAACTTTTATTCGGAGGTTGTTTCATACTTTACTTCGTGAATTATATTAGCATTGACACCATTGTTATTGCAAGTTCTTCGATTTTGTTTTTCTTCGCATATCGCGGCACTTTTGAATTTTGATTGCACGCATCCACGATAATTTGGCGTGTTTACTGTTCTCTGTACTTTTTCTTCGCCATACTTGGCATTGAGGACAGCTATATCGTAAAAAAAGACTGTGTTAAAGTAAGTCTATTTTTTGTACTTAAGTTCATTTCAATGTTTACCCGAAACACATTGCCATTGGCAAAGAAAACTATATACTTTTAATTAACACATACTGTGGCAACTTAGTCTTAAGTTTGTATATATCTGTTCACAGCTGGCCAGTTAATTTTTCTTGAAGTCAAATCACATATATTATTTTTACCAAACAATTTAGTGACCCTGTTGGGATCTAGTGCTGGTTTTGGAGATCTTTTCGACTGGAATAGTATTCCATCCTGGAGCTCTTCCGATGAAAATAGGAAGTCCAATGATTTGATTGCACATTTTGATGGCTCTTTTGGTGGTGCATTTACGGTCATCAAATTAATGTCATTGTGCCACTAAAATGAATTAACAATACTTGATATTAAATCACTGTAGTTGAATTCTTTTTAAGTAAAACGATAAATTACACATGTATACACTCATACTTACAATCTCGATCTCTGTAGTTTCTTTTTTGGCCATAGCTTTATCATTTGGGGATGCCTTCACCATGTTTTCCTAAATAATATTTGAAATAACAAATTTTGAATAATACACATGTTGAATAATCATAGCTCAAACCATTAATTTTATATGAAAGATCTCTTTATTTTATCCTAGCTTCACTGGTTGGCATAATGAAACTTAACTCACTAATGAAGCTCACATTTATACCGTAGTGTGAAATTGCGTGTTCCTATGCGCTGCATTTACGATGTTTGGCACTGGATCTGTCAAAACTACGGTTATCAGGACATTTCAGTAGCGCAAGCTGCGCAAAAGCTGTGTAATAAATATAAGACTGTGTGAATATAATAATTTGTGGTCCCAGGGGTATTCTCAACGGCTTTGTCATTCTTAACAAAACGTTAAACTAGGCATTATCACGTAAAAGCTTATTGCGACCAATGATGAGGTGTTATTAAAATTATTTAAAGTCGAATTTACAGCAAGCATTGCATCGCTTTACCCAATTAACTTAGCCTTCTTTTGTAAGGTTATTTGAAAAAGCTTGAAACATTTATTACATGTGGTAATGGCTCGATAACACGACACATGTATATAGAAATATGAACAGTATGAAAATAAATTATATAGTGTGCACATGAGTATCGATAGTATGTCTATGGAGTTTTAGTACATATTCCATTTCCTCGTGTTTCATTAAGACAGTACTCAGGGGATTATATATATATATATATTATAATATTTCAAATTCATGCACACATGTTTTCAATAGAGAGTCTCAGCTTGGCGTTCATACGTTGAACTGACAAAAGGCGGGCAAAGGAAAAAAAAGCTATACAGGTAATAGAGAGTAAATAAACTTGCTATTTTAAAACTGTATGTATAGCGATTCTTTCGATATAAGAAAGAAAATATGAAGCGAAGAAGTTTTACTGAAGCGAAAATGCTGCAAGTTTGATTCGGCCGTTAGCCTCCTCATATAAACAAACATCCAAACCAAGTTTTTGTCAGATAAATTCCGTTAATTTAAATTTGACTCCGCGTATCAAGGTACAAACTTTAGAAATATATTGGGCCTTTCTTGTATTCCTCATCTGTCGTAACATGCTAAAAGTTTTAAAAGAAATTCTAAAACAGAATACAAAGCTTTCACCCATGCAGCTAAAGCAAAAGCTAGCTAGCACAGTATACAATTTTATGTAAACATTGATCATATTTCACTGGGGAAACAATCGATTGCTCCTATAAATACCCGAAATATAGGATTTATTAGAGAAAATATCGAGCTAAATACTCTGTATATTAATGTACTTATTTATTCTTCATTGAACGTGTTCAGTTCAACAAAATTGGAAAATCGACCACCCAGTGCTTTACGCGAACAGCGCTTATTTTATAATTGCTTACAAATATCAATGAATATCCAATCATGATGATACTGGTTAAACAAATGTTCTGCCGAATACAACACTCAACAGCAATTTTCTGCCTTTTCTGCTTGATATGTAGAACTAAAAGCGAGACTGTGTCGTTGAGTGAGCTTCGAGAAGAACATCTATAGTCTATTAACGTTTTTAAGAGTTTAATTTGAAAGGTTCAGCCAGGCCTTTAACAACTTCGTCCATTACAATAACCGTTATGACGTATTTTATGAAAAATACATGTCAATAAAAACTTCATTTCATGGTATAGTCCTTTGTGTTGCTTTATTCACACTCCTTGTATTGTTTGAACTCGAACGCCACATTTGCCTTCCCTACCCCCCATAAGTCCCAATTGTTATCTCACAAAATCTGGGAGACAAGTGACAAGCCCGGACCAGGGTGTTTCCTCCAACGAGGCGCGTAGTGGAAAGAGCCTGGGTCCGAGGTTGAACTGGAGCATGTTCGGGTATATAGTACGGTGGCCCACAAGTGCAACGTCAATAATAAATCAGATATCAACTTAAATTTCATAACTTCAAATTCAAATTCCTTGCTCAAACTTCAAATTCCTTGCTTCAAATTAAAATTCCTCACTCCAAAGTCAAATTTCTCACTCCATATTCCTCACTCCAAATTCAAATTCCTCACCCAAAATTCAAATTCCTCACTCCAAATTCAAATTCCTCAGTCCAAATTCAAATTCCTCACTCCAAATTCAAATTCCTCTCTCCAAATTCAAATTCCGCGCTCCAAATTCAAATTCCTCACTCCAAATTCAAATTCCTCACTCCAAATTCAAATTCCTCACTCCAAATTCAAATTCCTCACTCCAAATTCAAATTCCTCACTCCAAATTCAAATTTCTCATGGTAACTCCAAATTCAAATTTCTCACTCCAAATTCAAATTCATTATTGGTCAGCAGTAACAATATTAAATAAACTATAATACTTCATATACACACCGTTAATAGAACTGATGATTACATTGTACGTCAGGAATAGCTCTATTATAGTTACAAAGAAAGTATTATAAACACTGCAAGTAAAAAAAACAACATGGCATCCACTTGCTAGGCGTCATAAACGGTGTGGAGTTATACGACAACTTTTGCTGCCACTGTGGCGTGAAACTGCCTACTGAAGACCTTCAAATAAAGTGATGTTTTTTATGTTACTCTGATCCACACCGGGCAGGCTGAAAAGTTAGCATGACCACGGTGGGAATCAAACCTGCTGTCTGTGGGATACTGGTCCAATACTCTGCCAACTGAGCTACGAGGCCAAATTCGTTTGTTTATGGACTGTAGTATCTGTCTTGTGATTGATGGGAGGTGGTTAGAATGGCTGTTTAGGTATAAGCGTTCGTTGTCGGGTTTTCTGTAAGGTTGGTAACTTTCATTTTTAAGGCGTCAGGCGTAACGTCGAGGATGTAAGAATTATTCAGGAAAATCTTAAGTCGCGGTACCTATACGCTTTTCAGTTATGTTCCTGCTGGTTTTAAGATATATTTATGAAAATATCATTTTTATACAGTAAAATAGTTGTTCTAAAAAATTATGTTTGGAAATTTTTGTTTATTTCGTCATTCCGCTGATATTGCGATTACTTTGACGACTCCAATATATTTCTGAATCGTTTTTGTGAATTGCTCCTTATTATAAAAATATCCAAAATTAGAACAAAGCCGAACACAATTTTGAACCTGACGTCTTTATCTATGTCCTGTGAAAATTTGAGAAAAATTCGTTAAAACCCGCAGGAGCTCAACTCGTTTTCGGGAGAAAATTGAATTTGAATATTACATTTTCAATGTTTTTCTTATTGCAAGCGAAAAGTATTTTATTATATAACTCTGCGAGTTTTCAACATTTTTCGTCCAAACTTGGTCAGATAGTAGAACTAGACAAAGTCCAATGCTTACATGGAATTCAACAAAAAAAAATTAGGCAAAATTAACACTCAAAGGTGTTCTGTAACCTTAAACTTAGGCCCCGTTTACACTATACCGGATTACTTTTCATACCGGATTAATTTTTACTCCGAAGTAAAAAATCAAGGGTGTTTACACTATGCCGCTTCGCTCTGTTGCCAGCTCATGTCTTTCACTGTCGCCATGGAAAAAGTAGCCAATATACCAAAATTTATTAAAAACAAGAAGTAACATCCGTTTTCTTTGTAAAGTATAACTTTGTTTAAAAAGCTTGACCGCCAGACGTTGCTTCGTTTCGCTCTAATCCAAAATTGACGAGTATTTCTTTAACTTTTGCTCTTTCGAAAGCGAAAAGTCAATGTTATTATCGTTTTCTTTATTTGTATTCGGCAGAAATAGTAAATGGTTGTATGGCGAAACAAACAATAGCTATAAAGTATTGTAAAAGCGAGCAAATAAAGGCGACAATGTTAAAACATACACGCCAAACCATGCAGTTTACACTGCTCTGGCACATACTGGATTACTTTTCACATCACCTCCAACATTACCAGAAATATGGGTCAAGATGGTGGACATGACAAAAAAATTACGCAACAAAATGGCGTCCGATAATGCTGGGATTAGTAGAGGCATATAAAAACGTTCTCAAATATCGCATGAATGAGCCGCAAATCACGCTTACTTGGCATCGTTTCACATGCTATGCTAATTCAGGAATCTATTAATTCTAACAACTATTTCTAGAATAAAATACACTCACTTCCCGAGCTCATTATTGATATCACATTCACCAGCATAATAACTCCTTATATTGCATGTGAATCTG